AAAAACTCCCTCCGAAGTTTTACAGTGAGATAGAGGGAGGCAGGAACAACCAAATATGTTAAACCTTAACTCATATCTCAAAGAAAGGGTTGGGGTTTTTTTCTATTTTGCCTTGAAAACTCTAGGTGAACTAAAACAACCTCTGTGAATTTTAGTGTAATACTTTCTATGACCTACGTTTGGTAGAGTAGGAGTGTCCTTATCATGGGGAGAAACAACTGCATTGATCTCATTAAGATGTTTATCACACAATATATTTCGACAGACATTCCTGGTTGCCCTCTGTTGAAGATTTTTAAGCTTTTAAGACAAAACAGAGTTGAACCAGGATGGCCTGCTTTATCCTAACATTTCTAGAATGTAACTTGAGAATTAACCATCACTCCAGTTGAAGCAGTTAAAGAAAAATAAAAATAGAGATAAAATTGCTGGCAAAGGTTCTGTGAATGTACTTGAATTAGAGTGATATGGCAGTGATATGGTACAAGGGCTCCTCTCCTCCTTGCCAGGGATCTGAAATGACTTTTAAACCCCTCTCCAGCCATAGCTTCCACTGAGCAGGCTGCTGGGGAAGCAGGAGCCATGTCATCTCAAAAATACCTTAAACCCTCTGTTTTTCCCATGAGAAGGAAGTCAGTGGAGGCTGATGCCATCCAAAGAGGGGAGGAGAAGATGATCTGCCCAGGGCTGGTGTGGCAGTGGGCAGTGACCTCACAGAACCCTGGGGATGGGAGTCAGGTCTGCAGCAGCTGCACTAAAACTATTAAGGAAAAAAAAACGATCCTAGGTAATTTAGTAGTGAGGGAGTATTGCTGATGTCCCTCTGGGCTGCATGTGGAGAGGATCTATGCCTACATTAGCAGCAGCAAAAGATATTTAGCTCAGTAGGAGCAGCTGGTTTTGTTTAACCTGAGAGGTCCTGCAGTCAGCTCTGGAGCAAGCCAAACATGCCCATGCCATTTACACAACTTTTTAGGATATTAAGGGTCTAGGCATCTTTTACAGACAAGTTTCTAACCTGAAACATGGTAGGGGTATATTCTGCATCCATCCATTCACCACTAGTGACTTTTACTGCTGAACGAACAAGGAGTTTGGATGTTCAACCACATGCAAGGCCAGGTCTGCATAAACACAGGTAACAAAATCCATCATCCTGGAGGGAAAGGTGGATGATGCTGCTGATGTCTGTCATCTTTCACTCCTCTGAGAGTCCTTAGTTCTCATCCTCTTCCCTTTCAGAGTCTAAATCTACCAAATGGCTTTGGGACATCTAGAAAAAACTAAGAGAGTGCACAAAAAGAAAAAAAAAGAAAAAAAAGGTAGCCATCAAAGTGAATATTTTATTTGGCCCCTATTTAAGATCAAATATCACATGCCCCAGCAAGTGATCTATAGATCACTCTATATTTCATGCCATTTTAAAAGATGTTCAGATCTGGAGAGAATTAGCTGCCATCAGAATGGATGACGGTCCTTTTTGTCCTCTGCAAGAACAGACACTGTGAAGATTTCACAAGATATTTAAAAAAAAAAAAAAAAAGAAATAGAAAGACACAAATGCACAGATACAGCCTGGAAATCTGAAATTCAGGATCCAGCAATGCTAGTGACCTAACAAAAGATAGCTATTATCTTGTGTTGTAGATCTTCTAGATACATGGGTGCAAAATGGTGTACAGCCAATAAGTATTATTACTCTATTTTTTGAGTTTGGTTTTCTGCGTGTAAGATCAGAGAGTAGCAACAGATGTAGGCAAAATGTGTAAGGGATTTGTAGTCTGAAACATGAAACTATTATTGTTATGAAATTAAAAATAGCATATTGTAGGCATATGCCAGGAAGGACATAACAATTAACAGCAGAAAGTGTTTGTTGGGTTTTTTTTATTGAAGAACTAGGCAAAATGAGGGATCTTGTTCAAAACCTGCCTGACCTTCAGGCCTTATTTATACAAGTCACCTCTTTTTGTTTCCCAAACCTCAGGCTTAGCCCAGGAGCTTAGCCATTCATGTCTCCTTCTTTCACTAAAGTGGTCCTGGAAGACAACAGATAACTTGGGATGGTGATTGAGTCCCCTGAAGTGCCCTTGAGACAACAGGAGGTAGTTAGGGCCCTGGCTTGGAGGCCTCTAGGAAATGCTGAAAGTCATGTTGGCAGCTGAGTCTTCATTTTCCCACACTTCAGTCTCCATCAGTCAAATGGGATGAAAGGCAATATTTTTTTCCATCTTTCTTCTGTCTGCCTTGTTGAGGAATTTTAACCATTGATGCGACAGCCCTTCCTAGCACAACAGGGCTTTTATCTCACTTGCAGCATTTGGCAAAGCCAGCATGTGAACTGTAGTAGAAAAGGGTCCCATTTTGTCAAATGCTGTGGTGGAAAGTTCACGTTTGCATGTTATGAAAGCAGAAAAAGCAAAACCCTTGTGTAAATAGGAAACTATCTGCCTTTGGAGGGAAGGAGATGGACAAAATGACCTCAGAGCAATTCAGCATCTGTGATTTCCTTGATTCTATCTGAAAGCTCACTCTCTATTTTGCTGACATATGAGCTGGGTACCCTATTGTACATCAGTGTAACAAATAGCTGTTATCTTCTGTTTCATGGGTGATACTGCAGAACATGATTTATTTTTGCCAGCTCTGTTGCCTCTTTTGAAATGTTGCCGTCGTTCGGTGCACCTTTCGCAGAGGAAGGCAGATGGTCATCGCAAAGTTTCCCATAACCTTGCCGTGAGTGCTGCATAGTGAATCAATGAAATCTGAATTACAGTCCATTGTATGAGTTTGGAGCTGTGCTGTTAAAGTATCCTGCAGTAGCTGAAAACGTTTGAATGTTAACATGGCATATATACTGAGGAAATTTTACATTTCTCCCTAAAATTTCAAACCAGTGCCAAAGGGGATTTTTAACTGTGAAGCTGTATCTGAAGTGAGCAGGACCTGCATTGCTCAGACCTTAATTACCAGTTTGGAAATGTACCTTTTGTGAGTGTGTGAGTGATAGGTATGACCCCTCCCTAGAAAAAAAATCAAAATAATGAATCAAAACAGGATTCTAACATGAAAAGCCAGAGATTAGGATTTTTTGGAGTCCAAGCAGCAGCAGCTGCCCCTCTGTGTTAGCTGTCTCTGCTTCTATGACATTTGCAATGAGGCTTCAGGTGATTTGAGAAGCTGGCATTAGACTGCAAATCACCTTTCATGTCAGCTCGTGCCAGGATACCTCGCCAGAAGCCATTATTTCAATGGGAAATAACAACTGGGAATAGGGAAAAAATGAACTTCTGAAAAGCACTTTGTCACATTCCCTGGGCTGTGGCAGGCAAATGCTGAAAACAGTGTGAGTTCCTGCCATGAAAGTGGGCATAGGCAGAAATTTCTCAGTGGGAGGATTACCTCCTTTACATACCAGAGACAAGGAAAGGTGAGTATATAAAACATTTTCAGCACTGTTTCTCAATTTCTGGCATTTATTTGCTCTGTGAGCAGGTATCCCAGAAGACTTCTATGTTTCACAAAGCCTGGTATTTGCTTCATTGATTTTTCCTTAGGATGGGAATCATAACAGCGAGCAGGTCTGACAATTTCAGATGCTGACCTGGGTGCAGCACAGGTGTTTCTAGAAATGGTTAATGTTGTCTGTAATAGATGTTAAAAGTATCTCCCCTGAATGTTTCTGGCCTTTTGCAGATGACTGCTTCCATGTGTGTGTGTAGGGCAGAGCATCTCCCAAATTCAGGCTGTCAGTCAGCTCATTCCCAAAGCACATCTAGGCAAAGAGTATTATCTCATGTGAACACACTGACACAAAATGTTTTATATATTAAGTGGCTTGATAAGTTTATGTTTTTTATTAAATACAAGAGGAAAGAATATTGAAAATTTATAATCTCAATTACACAGAAAAAACCACAATGTTGGGTTTTGGTGTGCAACAGACATTTAATCCCTGGGTTTAGAGTTTTTGATCAAAGAGATTACTTATGCTAAGATATTTTTATCCAATCTACTGAATTTTCCTCCTCAGTTTGCAATGGGGTTTGATCTAAATCCATGCAAACTTTCCCTGTCTTGACAGGGGCACCTCACAGTTATTCTAGAGAACTAGAATAATCAGTGGCTAAAAAGCAAGGATATTTCTAACAAAACCTTTGTTACAAAAAAAGAGAAAAAAATCTAAATGGGACCAGATAACTCTACAAAAAAGGAGTCTGGTCCTGTAAATAGATGGGAGCTGATCCTGAGTGCACCTGATGTGTCCTTTACTGATTTTCATGGTGTCCTAGCATCTACTGAAATAACTGAAACCAGAGTAAGGTTTATATTCTTGAAATATAAAAAACTCAAAATCCTGGCTAAATCAAAGTGTAAGGTAGATTCTTATCTATGTGACACTGATATAAATCCATGAAACTTCAAATAAACTATTCAAAAATTCTGATTTTACTTATATTGTTCTAGAGCCAGAGTAGCAGTTAAACTGGATCCATCTACATTTATATCTGTGTACTGAGGAATCATGTCTCATTTTCTGTACATGTCCAACTTTTAAAAAGCATTTCCAAAGTGACAGAAAATCACAAATCTTCCAGAAATTTATCTTCATCTCAAACATTTCATACGTCAGTAACTGGAGATTTGTTGTCTGTCACAGTTAAAAAGTGGGAAAGTGATCCTCTCCCATGAGGTGAGGAACTTGCATGCTACATTTCGGTTCCCAAACTTATGGGACCACAATGAGTATCTGGGCAGTCCCTGAACTGCAGCACAGAATTGCAAATGAGCCTATAATGAGTAAGGAACAGAGTTGTGGCAGGGAATAGGGATATGTCCCAAAGCCCACTGAGGTGAATGGCACAACTGCTGTTTACTGCAGTGGCCTTTGAGTCAAGCTCTTGGCATGTCTGTGCAAGGAAGGTTGAGTCAAACAATATCACTGAATCACGTCTTACGCAGGATAACCACATGCTCATCTTTTTTACTTTCCCTCTCAGGATGGAAGGAGCAGTTTTATTGGCCACCAGCTCGGAGGGGTCATGGAAGTACCAAACAGCAAGGACCAGAGAGTCAAATCAGCCAGAGCCATCCAAATCACTTACTACCTCCAAACGTATGGCTCTGTCACCCAGGACCTCATTGGGGAGAAGTGGGAGAGTGAATTCTGTAAACTGATGCACAAGATGCAGCTGGATCACCAAGATCTGCAGCTCTACTCACTGGTGTCCTTTAGCCTCTGGAAGGACTTCCACCAGACCAGTCTCTTGGCCAGGGGCAAGATTTTGGTGAGCCTGATGCTGATTCTCCTGACTGCTACCCTCTCGAGCTCCATGAAGGACTGCCTGCGTAGCAAACCTTTCCTGGGACTCTTGGGAGTACTCACTATCTGTATTTCCAGTGTCACTGCAGCAGGGATATTTTTCATTACTGATGGAAAATATAATTCTACTCTGTTGGGAATCCCTTTCTTCGCTATGGGTAATTATTTATCTTCATAATAATAGGATTAACAGAGCTTAATGACAGGATTGTAAATTACATCCTGGGTTATAAAGTGCAGATTTTACCTTGAGTGAAAGTCTAAGTCATTTTCATCTTGTTAAATCGAACTGTGCCTTGCCAAAAAAAAAAATAAAAAAAAAAAGAGAGAGAAAAAAAAGAAAAGAAAAAAGAAAAAGGGAAACAAAACAAAGCAGTAGCAACAATAAAGAGCAAATGACGTTGCTGGTATCTCAGCCAATATGAGAGGGGCAGTTTTATTGATCTCTGTTACAAAATGAAGGAGAAATTGTTCTTGAAAACTACTCAGCTCAGCACAGAAAATGGGTCTGTGTTGACCTGACTTTGATGAGATGCCAGCCAAAAGGGTAAGTTAAAACAGGAGGGTGCCAAGGAAGGAAAGATTTTAGCATCCTTTAGCAGGGGTGCTCTTCCAGCTTTGTCTGAGGGGCAGAGGGGAACAGGTTGCTGAAAGAATAAGATTGATGGACTTTATCTTGGAGAGGAGATTACTGTTGTGGTGTTTGCCAGGTTGTAAGCAAAGGGACCTGTCAGTATCTGCAGTGCATAATCCCTCGGTTTGTGAAGTGCCAGATCAGCTGCAGAGATTTCCTTTGTGTTGCACCCAGGCAGGTGAAGGTGCAGATGAAGAACAAACATAACCCCTCTTTTAGCAAAAAAATAGTTTTCATTCCTTCTGCTCTCATTTTGGTTCCAAGCACTTTTAGTGCATCTGTGTGGTTAACGCATTTGCTGGGAAGGTACATTGGAAAGGAAGAGGGAAACGTGCCCAAAATGACTTGCTGAGGCAGCATTGTTCAGTAGAATCACATCCAGGTTTGTCAGAGTTTCACCGTATCACGAGTCTGAACCCCAGAGATGTCTCTACATAAAATCTCAGCAGTGGCAACCCAGACTCAAAAACCTTCATGCTGGATTTTTGATGGCAGGAAATCTTACCTGTGGACAGAACTCTGCATCTTTACAGTTAATTTCTCAAATTCCATTCATGCTTCTAACACTCAAGCCCAGATCCTATGCAACAGTGAGAGATAACTAAATATGCAAAGCCATAAGCTAGAGTTGAGGTTTGGAGAAGGGTCAACCTCAACCTCCCCAAAACCTACATTTTCTTGCTCTTCCCCTCAAGAGAAGTCCTGTAGGTGTATGCATCCCTCAACTCCCTGCCTCCTATTTCGTCTGTCCCCTGATAATGCATCTGTGTCATTAACCAAGGGGACCGAGCTGTGGCCTCATGAGCCCTGCACCCAGCATCTCTGGAGCAGCTGGCCAAGATAGGAAGGAGTGTGATGGAGTGGTCAAGATTCCCGAAGGGAAAGGGGGGAATAGGGCAAAAGACCACAAGGAATTACATGATTGGTTCAATCTCATCAATACTGATAAAGCTGTTGCAAAGCCTCTAATTCAGTCATCGGCACTGTTAAATTGTGGCAATGGCCCCTGGCACGGTCTGCCCTGTCCCAGCTCTTCAGGTGCTGTGCACAGCTCTGCAGTGTAAGAGGACTGGATGGAAAGAAAGTGTTGAAGGGGGGAAGGGAAGAACACCAGCAGGAGGAGCAAAGAACGTGCCAGGTTGTGACAGGGATGGAGCCCAACCTGAGTGAGGGGTGCGGGCTAAAGAAGAAGAGATCTGCATGGTAGAATGGAGAAAAGGATGACAGAGGGGAAGGGGAGGCTCATGCTTGTTATCAGATTATGGCAACCTTTTTGTTGGGTGTCAGGAGGTGCATATCAAAGAGTGGGGGAAAATGTCGTGGCCTTACTTGTGAGGAAGTCGAAGTAAAGGTGAAAAACCACTGAAGTGATGAAAAGCACCTTCCCTCAACTGTTTATTCCTCTGCTGGTGTCCTTTTTTAGATCACTGTAGATATGGGTGGCCCGTACTCTTTACTTGACTAGTCCCTACAACTACCTGAAAGGATGGTGTAGTGAGGTGTGGGTTGGTCTCTTCTCCCAGGTAACCAGCAATAGGACAAGAGGTAAGACAAGAGTGGTGGAGTCACCATCTCTGAAGGTGTTCAAGAAACACGTAGATGTACCCCACACAGGGATATGGTTTAGTGGGCATGATGGTGATGAGTTGATGGTTGGACTAGATGATCTGAGAGGTCTTTTCCAACCTTAATTATTCTTTGATTCTGTCCCAGATTTGTCACTCCCAAGGAGCCCCAAACAGTGCCTGTAAGTGAAGCTCATCTTCTGGCTTACCTCAAGAGCATCAGCATCCACAAACCAGGAAATAGCTGTAGCATTGTGCTTAATTCATACATACCCTGCAGCCCCAGAATGAGACAAGGGTGGGAGTTTCTGAAAGCAGAGCGGCACAGTTTCCCATCTAGGATGGTGGTAATTCAGGAGTTTGTTTGCTGTCTGGGAAAAAGCAATGTTTATTACTTTCTGTTGTGTTTTGCGTTGTCATTCTTGCCACAACCACTGCCAAGAGCAAAAGAAAAGAAAAAGAAAAACCTCTCTTGAAGTGAGATATTTGCAAGGATTGCTTCTATAACATTATATTGAACAAACTTCAGGTTGAAAAAGAAAACATTTAAGTAACCCTTCTACAGAAATTTAATTCAAGAATCTCAGAGTGAATTGGAAATATTATTACAGAACAGCTTGCAATGTCTGGGAACTGCTGCTTGTAAATATTAGGTAACAGCTCATATTTTGGTGAACTAAAAGACAGGTAGCATGTCTTACCAAAGTCATACTGGGTTACATCCTGCACAGT